TCCGGCCTGTGCCTCTGACAAACTCCCCTCACTCACTGCGGCACCCACACGGCTGCGGAGCGTCCCAGGCCTGACCCCCTCCTGAGATGACCCAGAGGCTTTCAAACAGGAGGCGCTGGCGTGTTGGGCGGTCTGCAGGGCTGTCCTGGTGAGCTGGCAGCACTGGGCACTGTCACCCCTGGACGCTTCCTCAACCGATGACAAAGGGGTCGCTGGGGTCAGAGCCCACCTGACTCTAACCAAGGCCAGGACTCACAAGACTCTTGACATCTTACTGTATTTTTAAACACAGGAAGCATTCTTTAAAGAACATTTACACACACACTGCCCTAGCAGGTTTGGCTCAGTGGATAGAGCGTCGGCCTGCAGACCAAAGGGTCCTGGGTTCGATTCCAGTCAAGGACACATACCTTGGTTGCAGGCTCCTCCCCAGCCAGGGCCCTGGTAGGGGCGTGTGCAGGAGGCAACCAATCGACGTTTCTGTCTGTCTTTCCCCCTCTCTAAAAGATCAATGAAAAATATCCTCAGGTGAGGATTAACAAAAAAAATTTACACAATTTATTAACGTTTTACCGTTTTCTTTGCTCACAGAAAATATTTTTAAACTTATTTTGGTGAAACAGATTCATAGGAAGTTAAAGAGAGTACAGAGCATCCTGTGTACTATCCACCCAGCTTCCCCGGATGGGAGTCCCAGCTTCCACACTATCTAGCTATATAAGAAGCTAATATGCTAAGTGTCCTTCCCTCCATCCGGGTAATGACATCACGTAGCAACGCCCGGCTTCCTCTCCCTAGCAACTAGCCTCCTTGGAGTTTCTTCAGCCCAGGAACACGACTTGCTTTATAGCCAGGTGCAAACACTTTACACTTTAACCACATGTCTGTGAAGCATTTTCCGTGCCTCATCTCATTTGACCCTCACAGAAGTGCTGGAGTAGGTAGATAGGAGACTTGGTAGAATCCTATTTTCTTTTAATTAGCTGAAAATGGAGATTTAGAAAGCTTAGAAACTTGACCCGACTGAAAAGAAGAAATGGTGGACCTTGAAAATAACTTCAGGCTTTCTCACTGTGCAGAATGTAGTCAGACACGGCTGCAGTTCAATATTTACTCTTTGTTTTTCCTGCGTGATCTACAATACAGACAGTCCTCAGGTTACATCGGATTCAACGTATGTCATTTCGTGGTTACATCGCCATCTCTATTTATTTTAAAAAAAAAAAATCAGTCATTTAGACATTGTACATATGTGCTTTATGTTTTTTATTATCTACCACAAAGGTCAGAAATTGTTATCTTTTATTTTTTTAATATATTTTATTGATTTTTTACAGAGAGGAAGGGAGAGGGATAGAGAGTTAGAAACATCGATGAGAGAGAAACACTGATCAGCTGCCTCCTGCACACTCCCCACTGGGGATGTGCCCGCAACCAAGGTACATGCCCCTGACCGGAATCGAACCCGGGACCCTTGAGTCCACAGGCCGACGCTCCATCCACTGAGCCAAACCGGCTAGGGCCGAAATTGTTATCTTTTAATTTTTCTTTTTTTTACTGTTTCACTTAATTACTGCTGTGTATGTGCTCCATGTGAGTGACATAGGTGCTTATGTAGGTGGGTTCCAACTTACGACGAAAATTGTGTTACGTCACGCAGTAGGAATGGATCTCCGACGTAACCCTACATATATAGATAGATATGGCTAAGTTGACTTGTGCATGCGTGATACATATAAAGCTCTCACTGGCACCAATCACACACGTGTGTTTCCATCTGTCATTGTCAATTGTGAGTTTGGTTGATACTTCTATTATAGAGAAAGGGCAAAGAGCGATATTAAAGTATTTCTTCTAATTAATTTCCTTTCAATATTCACGAATTTGTGCACCAGGCCACTAGTAGCACAATCCAGAAGTGACATGTGTGGTTCATTCCACGCGATCACACGTGTGCACTTGCGTAATCCCCACTGCCATCGAAAGCTATTCCATCACCACAGAGATCTCCCTCACGCTACTCCTTCCTAGTCCCACCATTCCTAAACCTTGGCAGCCACCAATCTGTTCCTTCTCTATGATTTTGTCATTTCATGACCACCACAGAGGAAATCATACAAGACATGATCTTTTACTATACATGTGTGTATTTTTCACTCCTCCCAAGCCATTCCTTCAACTGCCATGCCTTTCACTGCTGAGTAGTATTCCATGGTACAGATGCACCAGTTTAACCTATTGAAGGGAATTTTGGGATTTTTTTTAATCCTCATCCAAGGATATATTTTTTAATGAGTTTTAGAGAGAGAAGAAGGGGGAAGAGTGAGAAACATCAGTTGCCTCCCATACGCACCCTGACCGGGGATTGAACCCACAACCTTTTGGTGTACGGGACGATGCTCCAACCGAGCCATTGGGCCAGAGCTGTGGGTGTGTGTTTTCACAGAATAAAACTTAAATTGTCAAAAAAAAACAAAACAAGAAACACCTTCAATTGTCCACTTCGGTAGTCCTAGTACAGGACCCGGGGAAGGAACCCCTGGAAGATGGCGTGCCACGTGTGAGGAACTTCTTGCCATGCTCATTTCACCCTTTGGGGGGCGATGTTTTATTTCAAACTGAAGGCAAGGAAATCACAGAGCCTAGATCTGGGTCTGGTGGCGATTTGGCAACCTCCACTCTGTGTTCCTTTAAACTGACACAGCGTGGTGACGACACACCAGGTTGCTAGGAGCCTCTGTGGACACTGCTCCTGTACTGCTGTCTGTCTGTGTGGACAGCTGATTTCTCTGCCAGGAGCATGGTTGCTGGGTTTTATGTTAAGTACACATTCAGTTTCTGAGGAAACTGCCCAAGTATTTCCCAGAGTAACTAGCGCTTACTTCCCGCCAACAGTGTGTGAGGTTTTCCGCTCCTCCAGGTCCTGCCAGTATTTATCACCGACTTCACTGACGCTGTTCGTACAGGTACGTGGCGTCTCCTCATGGCTTCGATTGGCATTTCCCTGATGGCCGGTGGTGCTCAGTAGCTTTCACGTGTCTGCCGCTGATGTCACCTGGAAAAGTGTCCCTTCTTGTCTTTTTTCCATTTTCTATCGGACTTTTTTCCCCCTTTTACTGTTGCGTTTTGATAATGCCTTATTATGTTCTAGTTAGGAGGCCTTTATCAGATCTGCGCTTTGCAAATATTTTCTGTCTGTAGCTTTTCTTTTCATTCTCCTAAGACTTTGTTGGAGCAAAAGCGTTTCATTTGGTTAAGTCAAATTTCACAATATACTTTTTATGGGTTGTGCTTTGGTCTCATGTCTTAAGAATTCTTTACCAAGCTCGGGGTCCTGAAGGTTTTCTCCTGGAAGTTGTTAGTTTTACATTTTACGTTTAACCCTCGGACCCGTGTTGACTTCTGTCAGGTCCAAGACTTCGGCTGGGGCTCCTCTCAGCCTATGGCCGTCCCATGGCTCCGGCACCACGTGCTGAAGACCGTTTCCTCCAGAGCTCACTTTGCAGCCGTCACCCATTCGGGGCCACTCCTGATGCCCCCGTTCTCTTCCATGGTCTCTGTGCCCGCCGTCCACCAATCCGGCAGCGTCACAGTGAGTCTGGGGACGGTTGAAGACTCCCATGCTTTAGTCTTCTAGTTAAGACTTGTTTGAGCTATTCTAGTTCTTTTGCCTTTCCTGATATATTTTACTTTTTTTGTTAATCCTCATGAGGATATTTTTTCTATTGAATTTTAGAGAGTGGAAGGGAGGAAGAGAGACAGAGAGAGAAACATCGATGTGAGACACATGGATTGGTTGCCCACACGCGCCCTGACTGGGGCCAGAGGCAGAGCCTGTAACCGAGGTGCGTGCCCTTGACCGGAATCGAACCTGGGACCCTTCAGTCCTCGGGCTGACACTCTATCCACTGAGCCAAACTGGTCAGGGCTCCTGATCCATTTTACAATAATCCTGTCTACACTTAAAGATTTTATTGGGATTTTGATAGGAGTTGCATTAAACCTGTATATTAATTCTCCAGTAAAACCACCTGGGCTTGGAGATTTTTCAGGGGTTTTTAATTATGAATTCAGGGTCTTTAATAGTTACAGGGCTATGCAAATGACCTCCTTCATCTGGAGTGAATTGTAGTTTATGCTTTTCAAGGAACTGGTTCATTTCATCAACCTGTCAAACTCACATGGGCATTTACTTACAATACCCCCTTCCTGTCCTTTTGTGTCTGGGGAATCTGTAGTGATCACCTTATTTCACTCCAAATATTTATATTAATTTGTGTCTTTTTTTTTAAAATATATTTTGTTGATTTTTTACAGAGAGGAAGGGAGAGAGACAGAGAGTCAGAAACATCGATGAGAAAGAAACATCGACCAGCCGCCTCCTGCACATCCCCCACTGGGGATGTGCCCGCAACCCAGGTACATGCCCTTGACCGGAATCGAACCCGGGACCCTTCAGTCCACAGGCTGACGCTCCATCCACTGAGCCAAACCAGTTTCGGCGTAATTTGTGTCTTTTTTTGTTGTTACCTCTGTCCTGCTAGGTCAGTCAATGCTGATTTTTGCAATGTCTACCTATCTTTGCTCACCATTTCTTCCTGCCGCCTGTGGCAGGCCCTGCTGGCTGTCCTCCCAGCATCCTTTCTCTCTTCCTTTTCCATGGAACCTCAATTTCAATCGTGGTGGCGATGGGTCCAAGCTGACCCCTGCACGGGCCCAGGCTCCTCCCTCTGTCCCACTGCAAGGGGCCCACAGAGCAGGGGGAGCCTCTCTGGCTGCCCCACGTAACACTGCAAGCCTAGCCCCACGCAGGTCTCCAGACTCTCTCAGACCTCTGTCCCTCAAGGGTTCTGAGATGACCGCTGCCCAAGGACTGAGCCCGGAAGGTCAGCCCATGTGCTCAGCCCCACACAGGGCTTTCTCAATCAAGCATCACCTCTACACACCCTGTCTGGGACCCAAACTCAAGCACCCCAAGGACCCAGGAAATACTTGATAGCTTTCTGCCACACACAGGGGTCTGCTTATTTCTATTTACAGAAAAAAAAGTCCACAATATATACAGGCACACATACGTGCGCAGGCCCATGGAGCTGCTCGGGAGACAGGAGCTGGCTCTCCCTATGGCGGGCTCCCCGACGGGGTGGGGAGCCACTGCGCTGAAGGCAAACGGGAAGCGATGGCCAGCTCAGCCCCCACCCGTCCAGCACCTTCCTCCCTCGGGGCAGGCCTCAGTCGGAGTCGCAGGCCTCTTGTTCATTGGTGGCGTCCACTGCGGAGGCCAGGCTGTCCTCCTGGCCTTTCAGCCTCTCACCTGGATGGACAGCAGACAGGAGGGTGAGAGAGGCCCTGTACCTGGGCTGCCACCCCGAGGGCAGGGACCCACCTCACCAGGCCTGCACTCACGGATCAGCTCGGCGATGGCCCTCTGGGTCCGCTTCTCCAGCTTCTCCAGCTTCTTGGCTACGTCTCTCTTGAGGTCCCTATGGCAGGGAGGTGGCAGGAGGCCAGAGGCTGAAGGCTGGCCCGGTGTGGCCCTGGGCCCATCTTGCCTGCAGCCCCTCAGGCCTCAGGAACCAGCCAGGACCCTCCCACACTCAGCACCTGCCATCCTTCCAGCCCAGGGAGGCAGGGACTAGCCCACAGGCCCACCCACTGAAGCCCAGGTGTGCAAGGGTGGACGGTTCCTCTGGCCCCTCAGTCATTGCTCAGAAGCGACCTGCCCAGTGCACTGAGTCCTGCTCCTCCTCCACACCCGGAGCTCCCAGAAGGCACCCACGCTGTCCCCTGGCTCTGGGTTCCCAGGACTTAGGCCCCAAGCTCATTTCATCAACTTTCAACACCTCCCTCTGGCGCTGCCCCTGACAGACTTACAGACGAGAGGAACAGGCCCACCCCTGGCCCAGGGCCCGGCACCAAGCGCTCCCGCCCCTCAGTCTGCACAGGTTCTCCCCTTGCAACACTTACCAGTCAGGCTTCCGGGGTGCGAGGTTGGCCAGGTCCTGGGGAGGAAGGAGACACCTGTCAGGGCCAGAGGGGCCCCACCCCAAAGGAAGGAGGGAGATGGACAGAGGTAGGAAAATGGGAGGAAGAAAAGGAGGAAGGAGAGGTGAGGGGCCGTGGAAGGTGGAAAGGGAAAAAGAAGGGAAGAGAAGGGAGGAGGAAGGAGAGCAGGTGCAGGAGGAAAGGCCTCAGGAGCGGCGAGAATGGGCCACTCGCCACCCTGCCACTCACCACTTCCTCAATGACTGGCTCGGGCTTGGCGGCCTCCAGCTGCTCCCTCACCTTCTCTTCCACTAGAGGGCGCAAGACAACAAGGGGGGCTGGGAGAGGCTGCCACTTGCCTGGTGACAGCAGCTGCAGCCACGGCAAGGGAAGAGGGTGCAGGCCGGTCCTGGGGACCTCTCTTGTCCCTTTGGCCCCCAGCCAGCCAGACGGAAGACCCTGGAAGGTGGCTCTGGAGGAAGGCTGGGGGCTCCCAGGATGAAAGCCACCCGGGGCAAAGCAGGCAGCTGGCGTAGTCAGAGCCAGACTTCGCCCCCAGCTGTGAATTCATCCAAAGTGGGTTCTGGGCAGGGCCCAGAAGACCGGCTCTCCCCAGTCTCCAGGGGCTCCAGGATTTCCTCCCATCTCACACAGAGGTGTGCTCCCGTGCTCCCAGACGGGGACTGCCACCTGGAGGCGCACTCGAGCACCCTGGGCCTCCAGGCAGCGACCGGGGACCCTGCCCCTGTGGCACAGACGCTGGGAGCCCTCACATCAAACCTGGGCTCTACCGGCTTCTGCCAGGCTCATCACAGGGCCCACGTTCCCTCAGGGCCCCCCGTCCTGCCTCCCCCTCCAGCCATGGGTACTGCCCCCGAGGCATGGGACCAGCTCCCTGTCCCTCTCCTCTGTCCTGCCTCACTGCCCCCTCCCCACAAGGCGCCACTGGACCCACCACAGTGGGGCCCAAAACACCCGGGACACATGGGAATTTCAGGGGCAAAGGAGATGAGGAAGCAGACGGGTGTGGCTGAAAAGGCAGCACTTTGTTGTTTTACAAGATAATGTATTTATTCACTTATTACTCATCGAATTGAAAGCAAAAACGAAGTTTAAAAGAGTCAGGGACCTGCGTGACAAGAACCCCAGCATCTCTGGTGCAGGTGGCGGGGGACAGGCCACTGCTGGCCGATGCTCCTGGCTCCTGGCTGCTGCCCACACTTGCGAGATTGCAGCCCTCGGCGGCGGCCCTCACCCACCGCAGACCACCTCTCCCGGCCTCTGGGCCTGGCACTGTCACACCTCCACCTGGTGGGCGTCCGCCTGCCCCTGCTCTCGCAGCACCTGCCCTTGTCGGGGTCTCTCTCTGACCCTTCAAGGGTCCGGGCACCACTTCTCAGCCCAGAGGGTTCCTCTGAGATGTGGCCTCTTCCCTCCAAGGCCCCTGGGAGGCCTCCCAGTCGGGGTACGAGCAGGGCAGAGCCCTGCCTGCTTCTCTGCGGTCACCAACTCTGACCACGTGTGCACCTGCCAGGTGGTGGTGGGGAGGGTGCTGGAGGCCCACCTTCCAGCCTGGCATTGCCAGCTTCCTTTCCAAGAGGAGGCACTGGCCGTGCCCGGAGCAGAGACCAGCCACCTACCTGCCACGGGCTTGGCCTGGGGCACCCTCCTCCTCTTGAGGTCCTCGTCCGCGGGGACGTAGTTCCGCAGCCTGAGCTCCCTGCAAGCGGAGAGCAAGCGGAGATGGAGTGAATGGGGGACAGTCCGGGACAGTCTGGATCGCCGCAGACACGTGCAGGCCAGACCGACGGAGCCACACAGCTGTGACTTCCCCCTTCCTCTCTGGAGCGGCCGCGGAGGAGGAAGGCCGGGGACCGAAGTGCTGTGGGCCCGCCCTCTGAGCCTCAGCCCCTCATCCCTCTCAGCAGCTGGCTGGCAGCTCTCCCAAGGCCCTGCCCACCCTGCCGGCTCCCATGGGAGCTGGGGCTGGGGTGCCCGAGCAGCATTCACCAGTGTCTCCCCGGGATTATCTTCCTCTGACAGTTACAGGAGCTGAGGGTCAGAGACGGCCCCAACTGTAGATGGTCTCACAGCAGAGCCCTGGCTGAGTTACTCCTGAAAGACAAAGCTGGTCGTCGCCCACTGGTTCCCAAGCCTGGCCGCCTCCTCAGAGCCTCCGTGCCGGGGCCACTGGTACATCGTCCCTGGACTCTGATGGCAAGATCTGTGCTGGGCGTGGCCGGTAGGGCTGAGGGGACTGGCCTGACACCGTGGAGGGCAGAGCCCAAGACCTCTGTGAGGGGAACCACGAGGGACCAGTCACACGCTGGGACTGCCACATGCACGTGCCACTGTCCCCGTAGCGGAGTCTCCGCAGACCGGGCAGCTGCACCAGCACTGGGCCCCCGGGCGCGGCAGCCCTCAGTCCCCACCCGCACCCCTGGACGACTCCCCAGAGGGGCAGAGGGCCCCTGGGGGCTGCTGCTCAATAAGGAGCCACTGGGCCAGGACCAGGCCCTGGGGCAGAGTGCCCGGCCCACCTGCCAGCCAGGCAGGACTGCAGTGCGGGTCCTCGTCCTCCCCACGACCTCCCAGGGGTCTTTGCAAGGACTGCTGCCCTCAGACGTCCTGGGCCTCCAGGACAGGGGACAGTCTCCCAACAGCAGGCTCGCAGTCTCATCTACCAAACCCCTCTGTGCCAGGCCACCAAGGGCTGCCGTCAGCCCCCACCCTGGCAGACAGCCTCTCCGGTGGGGAGGGCAGGGGCTGTGACCACACGGCCAGCACTGGCAGCAAGCGGTCTGGACGTGGGGACTTCAAGTTCAGTCCCTAGTCACCAGCACCTGCCCCATCCCCTCTTCCAGGGCCCCTGAGACCACAGCCCCAGGGCCAGGCTGAATCTTTGTGCCCTGGGGGCAGTGCCCGCCTGGCCTCTGAGGAGCAGGGATGCCAGCCCTGGCCACCGCCTGCCCCTCACGCCTCCCCAGGCCTCAGGTTAGTGGCAGATCAGGTTGCAGGGGGCGTGCCCCGCACACTGACTTCCCCTCACCACAGGGTGGGGAGAAAAGCAGAAGAGAAACTGGGTGTGGGAAACTGCAGGGATTTGTGGGAAAAACACTGTCACTCTCAAACTGGCTCCAGGGTTCCGTGAGAAATCAGTCTCGAGAGTCGGGGGGCGGGAGCGGGGACTGTGCCAGGACCCTGAGCGGCACACACCCATGCCCTCCCCTGCCCGGGCCTCAGCACAGCAGCTGGACTGAGGGAGGACACGGCAGGGGACAGGGAGGTGCCAGAAGCCCCTGGAAAAACGCTCAGCAGCCCCCAGCTCCCACTGTCCCTGTGCCCCTGGAGCTGGGCACTGGTCAATCATGAACACCTGGGTCCCGGTCAATGGACTGTCCCATTCTGGGCCTCAGCTTCCACATCTGCAAACCAGGAGGCAGGCTATGCTGGGTGTCAGGTCTGTCAAGCCAGGTTCAAGGCCCCCGGACTCACTGTGAGAGCTGATGAAGACACTGCCCTTCCCACCCCACCCCCACCCCCCTCACAGCCCAAGGGCAAGCCTCTGGGAGAGGTCCTGGGCACAGGGTTCTGCTCAGGCCTGGCCTTTCCGATGCAGGACTGCGGCTTGTTTAAGCCCTCCCGCCCTCTGCAAACAACTTAAAAAGCCTGACAACAGACACAGGCGTGGGAAAAGCTAGGTTTACAGCTGTGAGCATGCCACTCAGCTTCTTCTTGTATTACTATTATTTATTACTGTATTCTAGAGGCCCGGTGCATGATTCACGCCTGGGTAAGGCCCCTCGGGGTGGCCTGCGGAGATCAGGCCCCAGCTGGCGCCCCCAGCCTCGCAGCCCCGCCTTGGCCTGGCGCCACCCCCTCACCTGCTCCACCATCCCGCTGCCTCCACTGCCGCCCACTGCCAGCACTGCATCACCGACGCCCACCATGTTCCGCGCCACCCCCTGGTGGTGAGTGCACATCATAGCGAGCGGGAGAACGACCGCCCGAGGGGACAATTTGCATATTAGGCTTTTATTATTTGGGATTTATATTATTTGTTTTCTTACTATTGTTATTTTATACCCTTATGACTATCTTGTAGGTAATGATGGCTGGTAATTTAACCAACCATCACCAGCAGTGGATACGGGTCCTACTCTTGCCCACCTGTGAGTTTTTAAATCTGCTGGTGGCCTTGGAGAAGGGCCAACGCCGCAGGGACCGGAGGGGCTGCACGCCCAGCAGAAGGCAGGGTCGGCCGACGGAGCATCTGTCTACCGGCAGCAGAGCCTCCTGCAATCCCAGGGCCCGAAGAGACAAAGTCTGTGTGCAGGCCAGCCAAGAAGCAGGGCCCTGGCCACCCCAGGCTTTCTGTTGTGATCCCCACATGACCCCATCTTCAGAATCGGGGTGAACCTGAAGCAGGAACAGAGCTGGGCATCGGCAGTCACCGGCGGCTGCCGTGGGAAGAAGGGGCCGTGTGACTGGGCACTGGGAGAGGAAACTTCTCCTTCAGGCCTGAGGGGTGGGCCAGGGCGCCCAAGCCCCCTGCCCGCCTGCAGCTGGAACAATTCTCTCCCGAGCAGCAATTCCGACCGGTGCTGCAGGCATGTCTACAACATGCAACACCTGACCACTTAGTCAGGAGCACTGACCTTCTCTCCGTAGATTATCAAACAGAAAAATGACAACAGCCAACACAACAATCGCTGTCCAATGTGAATGAATAAAAACGATACCTATTTTCTGTCAGATCAATGAAAAATAATATATTTTTTGGTGTGCCGCAGAATTTTAATAGTTCATTTATGTGTGCCATGAGATGAAAATGGTTGAAAATCGCTGCTCTAGAGGAAAATAAATTACCCGGAACCACAAATTATCTCTAGAACTTTTCATACCTAACATCCAGGATTCAATCAAAGCCGTGAGAAAAAATAAAGACAACATACATGCATTCATGGGTGATCCAAATACTGGAATGGTTAGAAACGAAAAGTAAAATCATTAACACTAATAAAAGTTCAGGAAGATAAACCACAAGATGGAGAATTTCAGCAGACAACCTGAAACTGCAAAAATTAATCCAATGGGAATTCAACAGTTGAAAATATAACCAACACTAAGGACTCAATAAATGAGTTCAATAGTAGTTAGGGCACATATAAAGAAAGGACTAGTAAACGGTAAGACAAGCCAGAAAATGTCCAGACTGAGGCACACAGAAGTTGGAAATTACAGAAAAGAGCATGAGAGACACATGCAACAGGATCAAAAAGATCTGACATACATGTAATTACAGTCCCAGAGGCAATAAATAGATCACGACTGAGAATTTTTAACATTAATGAAAAACATCAAGCCATCGATTAGAGAAACACTGTGAACTCCAAAGAAAAGACCCCCAGGCAAATCTCTGTCCAACTACTGAACCCGAGACAGATTCTTTTTTTTTCTCAAAAATATTTTATTGATTTTTTTACAGAGAGGATCTATCAGCCTTTGTCTCATCATATCAGAACTAAGGAATCAACATGTCACCCTACATGACATGATCCTGACAAATACTGAGAAGATCAAATGGCCCCAGAGCAGCAAGGCAGACACCGCACTGAGGCCAGGGCCAGGGCCAGGGCCAGGGCCAGGGGACTCTGTGAGTCTGGCTCAAGACCGACACTCCTTGGTTTGGTACATGACTACCGTGATGGGGAAACTGGCTGCAAACGGTCATCGCACCTCCTGTTTTCAGAGTCTAGTAAAACTCTCATGTCGTTAGAAAAGAAAAGAGACGTGAAGCCCAGGAGCAGAGGTCTAGCTCGCCAGAGAGAAAGGCGGCTTCCCGACTGACTACCTGGCCCACCTCCCGACCGATGGATCTGAGCGTCCACACTGCGTGGCAGGCGTCCGGCCCGGCCCTGCCCCCTCTCCATGCCACAAGTCTCACCCGCAGGGCCTGCCGTCTCTTCTCTCCCCGTGCTCTCAGGGCCGCTCCACCCGCACTCCCGCGCACGCAGCCTGCCCTGCACCCTGGAGAGGCAGAACGGGCAGCCCGCGTGGCCTGGGGGCCAGAGGGACAGTGGTGAGAGGCGCTCCTCAGTCACAGCCCTGGACACCAGCTCCGCCGGGCCCTCAGCTCCTGAGCCCAGAAGGCTCTCTTTCCCTGACCGTCCAGAGAGGCAGGAGCTCTTCCCGGAACACCCCGCCCGCAGCACGTCTGCTGTAGCCTGTAGGCCTGGCACATGGAGACACTCCCTGTCCCCAACGTCAACCAGGCCTGGAGCCCATGGAAAGGCGAGGCCACAACCCCGAATGGGACCACCACTGCTCCAGGCCTGCCCCGTCCTCCCTTCAAGTCACAGTAAAATGTTCCCAGCCCAAGGCTGTTTCCATGGTCACTGCCGCTGGCTGTTCCCTGGCTGTTCACGGAGCTTGCAGGCCGAGGACAGGAATGGCCGGGTCCCCACGCGGGACTGATGGGACTGGCGGGCTCATTGTTCTCCATCAGACAGGGGCCAAAGGAGGAGGGGCTGCTCTCCCTCTCGGATGGGAGGCCTTCGGGGCGTCACCAGCGTGAATGTGGTTTCCTCACCTCAGGGTGGACCACACCCGCCCCACCGAGGGGAAGACTGGGTGAGAAGGGCTCTGGCAGCACTGAAGGTCATGACATACAAGATCAAGACTTATTTCCAGGCAGCAGGACCCAGCCACCCTCCCCCACAGTCAGGGCCAGTCTGCTTCCCACGGTTTCCATGACACACCATCCCGAAACCAGTCCTCTCTTGGTTCAGTTGCCCACATCCCGGGGCCCACTCCTGAGCAACAGGATCAGAAAAACAGGGTGACAGCAGGTGTCTGAGCTGCTGCCTCAGCACAAATCCTGGAGCTACGGTCCAGCCCCCTGCCCACGGTCTGGCCCCCTGCCTACGGTCCAGGCCCCTGCCCACAGTCTGGCCCCTGCCTACAGTCCAGTCTCCTGCCCACGGTCTGGCCCCTGCCCACACTCTGGCCCCTGCCCACGGGCCAGCCCCCTGCCTACGGTCTGGCCCCTGCCTACGGTCTGGCCCCTGCCCACACTCTGGCCCCTGCCTACGGTCCAGCCCCCTGCCCACGGTCTGGCCCCTGCCTACGGTCTAGACACCTGCCTACGGTCTGGCCCCTGCCTACGGTCCAGCCCCCTACTCACGGTCTGGGCCCCTGCCTACAGGTTCAGGCCCTTGCCCCCCGTCTGGCCCCTGCCTACAGTCCAGTCTCCTGCCCACGG